ACAACAAACAACAACAAACAACAACAAACAACAACAAACAACAACAACAACAACCACAACAACAACAACCACAACCACAACAACAACAACCACAACAACAACAACCAACAACAACAACCACAACAACCACAACAACCACAACAACCACAACAACCACAACCGCAACCACAACCGCAACCACAACCAACAACCAACAACCAACAACCAACAACCACCAACCACCAACCACCAACCACCAACCACCGACGACGACGACGACAACGACGACCACGACGACGACAACGACGACCACGACGACGACAACGACAACGACAACGACAACGACAACGACATCAACAACTGCAACTGCAACGATTACATTGTCTTCCTAGATAGCTCGTCTGTCAAAGATTTTTGGGTTTCACAGCCGAACGCACAAATTCAATCACAAGAAACCCGTGTCATGGAATGAAGCACCATCTTTGTCATAGTAATGAGACATACACGTGTACAGTACTAGTATACACCAATGGATTACGCTGGGCTGCCCGTACTCCAACACAAACATGCTGAATTGTACACGAGGATGCGAAGGTATGTCATGTGCATCATGGAGTCATCAGTGTTTCAAAACTGCCGGCTTGGCAATCTCACGGCATGTCTTGCTTCTAGTGAAACATTTGAGCGCGACTGGGTTTGGGATTAAGTCCTGAAGAGCCGAATCCATGGGCCCCCACTGTCGTGGATCTTCCGGATACAGGTCATAGAGCCGCGTGCTCAACCACTTCTGAGCTCGGGCTGGGTCAACTACTCCTGCGAAACTATTCACAGCATTCTGGATGGCCTCTGGATCTGCGCTAACCTCGAAGTCTTGTTGAAACCTCCAACCATGATGAGGAGTCTGGCTCAGCAAGTACAAGACCCTGGCAGTGGATGCCCACTCCAACTTCACCGCCTCCTCCAAGCCAGTCAACACATCCTCGCACTGGTCACCACCACCGTCAGCCTCCAAGCCCTTCATGAAGCTCTTAATTTGACTCACGTCTGTGGTGAAGGCATGAACCACATAACGACTGTCATCATCATAATCCCTGTAGCCAACAAAGGCCACTCTCACCCGTGCAAAGTCACCCATGCGTTGCAGGTTGTCTTGAATGATATCTTCCATCTTTTCAATCAAGCTTTGCAACCAAAATTGCATGGAGGCAGTCAAGTCCACCACAAAGCAAAGGTCCACTGTCTTGACCTTCTTCGCACGTTTGCAGGCCAGGTCCAGCTGCGTCTTCATTTTGGCATCACGACTGCCTCGTTGAACCAACTGGCGTCGTTCTTCTTGGGCCCGTAGGTGATCTTCTCGCGTCTTCTGCGCGGCTTCTTGGATGTCCTTCACCTGTGGCTGGGTCAAAAATGGTAACCCTAAAATCCATGGGACGGATTCGGATGGATAATGATTAATGGTGGCTATGTTATATTGCTACTCAACATGACAAATATCTGCTTGTATGTAACATCTATACCGTATATATTGTATACAAAAAACTCAAACATGCCGACACATCCCCGCCTGTTCACCCCGATCCATGACGGAAGCAATCGTTCGAGTTCTTCAGTGTGCAAACGTAATTAACACTGGCCACAACAGCTGCGATAGGGCCCAATGATCAACCTTTCACAACCTTTCAAACCTCAACTCTACTGACTTTGGTGCTTCCAATCTTGCAAAAGACGTTGTCAGTAAGTCGTAAAAGCAAAAAATAAGAGTTCATCTGCAGTATAGGTACCAGGAATCAATGACATCAAGTTTCAAGATATGTCAATATGCAACGAGTGCAATCAAGTTTTCCAAAGTCTTAGGTTCGAACCCAAAGCCTGCGCTGAGAGACCCATGCTAAAACTGAAACATGATCCAAGAAAAAAAGCATCAAGCAATCCAAAGTTTTGGGCTCCGAAGTCAAAATATAAACAAAACTGGAATGGTATAAAGCAAAGTGTGATAGGAGTAATTAAGTGCAGGATCTCATCTTCGTCAGACCCACGGCCACAGCATCTGCCTGAGCCTTGTCGCCCTGGATGGTGATCTTGGCATTGTCAAAGCGCACCTGGTCGACCAACCCATACCGCATCAAGAATCCGTTATGTCGGTTGTAAAGTAGACCACAATGTGTCAGCTGCCGGATATTTTTGAATCGGATCCTAATTGAGGATGTTTCTGAGGTGTTCCTATCAAGTTATACCACCTACACAACCATCGACACCAAAATGAATCAAGTTACTTGACAGAAAGTTCCCTCCCTTTCATTAGATCGTGATGAGACTGCACAATCATCTGCCCAAAAAGGCTCATAGCGTCACTCCAAAAATCCCACCTGGTTCCAAGGTCGAAGAGCAAAGGCCTGATCCGCTGGGAAACTGGTGACGAAGAGCTGGATGACCAACTTTAGGGGTCAAAAAAACCGGGACATGTTCACATCAATAGGACTAGGACATATAACAAACAAAAACAAATAGTAAAAACTTTAAATAGTGGATAGTCATCGAATATCATGGACTGCCATCTAGCTTCCACAAGAAATCTGCAGGTACCTTACTCACAATTCGGTAAACCACGGTCCACATGAATCATCATCACCTTTGAGTCATATGTGTGAGTGACCCTTGATATTATCAAATGAGTTGGGTCAAATCCGCTGTCATGGAAATCTGCTTTGTTACATACCCAAAAAGGCCCACATACATCACATCATCATCAATGTATGAGCATTATGAGGTTTTGACATAATAGCTCTATTGGGATAAATGTGTAGGTAACAGCTGTAACAGTACATGAACACAGTGAGATGAAAAATCACAAAAGTCAAGGAGCTCAGAGGTTAGCCTGTATCGATCCCACAACTAATGAGTTAAGCCTGTGTTCACGTATTTTCTCTACAACAAAGGTAGACGATTTGGGCTCTCCTCCGCATCTAGAGAATCATAAATTAGTCATGAGTCAGAATCATGTGAATATATTATATTACGTACATATTCAGAAGAATCTTGCAAATGGTTCAAAGCTAGAAGACTTCCGCCTTTATTGAGATTCAGGAATAGAATCCGAGGCAAAGCCATCATGAAGGGAAAGAGGTTGGCTCACAAAGCCGCTTGGCAGTAACAAAGCTTTTCGAAACCGAAATAATTACCATTAATTGCCCTTGATACCGGGCTACAAGCGTGTCCTCCCCTGCAAACTCTTGGAGTCTCCAAAACGGTGACCCCTCCTTAGACCGGCTGGACATTGGCTAAACTACCAATGACTCCAATGACTACTGGACATGGGTTCTCGTCTTCTGGCACCCAAACCCTCGTCGTCTCTCGCCTCGCTCGTCGCCTCTCGCCTCGCGGCTCTGGCCGAGATCGAAGCCCATCGCAACGGAACATCGTCGCGCAAAGCGTCCGGTCCTTCGGTCATTCCCCATGAGGTCATGAGTGGCCGGGCTATCAAAAAGAAAAGAAAAATATATATATATATCAAAAAGAAAACTTCTATATCCTATCAAGAAGAAAATTAATTTGTATCTCTCGCAAAGAGCTGCACCTGCCATTGCAAACCGCCTAATCTGGATGCGCAGATTTCGTGGCGCGCGCAGCACTTTGAGCATCTCCAGTAGCAGATTTCGTGGCAGGAGCAGCACTTTGCGCACTGGCACTGAAGATTTCGTGGCGGGCGCTTTGAGCACCTCCAGTAGCAGATTTCGTGGCAGGAGCGGCACTTTGTGCACTAGAACTGCAGATTTCGTGGCAGGCGCAGCACTTTGAGCACCTCCAGTACTAGGTTTCGTGGCAGGAGCGGCACTTTGTGCATTGAAAGTGCAGATTTCGTGGCAGGCACAGCACTTTGAGCACCTCCAGTAGCAAGTTTCGTGGCAGAAGCGGCACTTTGTACGCAGCACTTTGAGCACCTTCAGTTGCAGGGCTCGTGGCAGGCGCAGCACTTTGAGCACCTTCAGTTGCAGGGCTCGTGGCAGGCGCAGCACTTTGTGCACTGGAACTGCAGACTTCATGGCAGGCGCAGCACTTCGTGAACCTCGAAGTGCAGATTGCGTCAACCTCTGTCTACAAGCGCAGACTTTGTGGCAAGCGCAGCGATTGCGAACCTTGCAGTGCAGCTTGCGTGGCAAGACCTGGATCTGAACATCTTTCTACACCCTCTGCAAGTATAGACCCCTAGAACTTAGATTTCAACACCTCCCTGGATCTCAAGACTCAAGACCTCTAAACTTCCATCTTTAGGTCTGCGGGTTTCTAGACCTCTACACCTGCAGATCCGTCTGGATCTCCAGGCCTCTGGATCTTTGTAGCTCTGAATTTCACGATGGCTCACAAGACCACAGGACCTGTGGATGGCTCACAAAAGGTCTGCTATGTTGGAATGGCACCTTCCTCCTCTAAAGTTTATGCTGACAACAGGTCTGCTCCTGTAAATGTTGCCCTCGCATGGCTCACAAAAGGTCTACTGCTCCTCTAAATTTTGCTCACAAAAGGTCTGCTACCTAGGCGTGGCACCTAAAGTTTACCCCCGGGTGGCTCACAAAAGGTCTGCTACGTTGGAATAGCAAGTTCTACTCTCGGGTTGCTGACAAAACAAAGGCCTCCTACCTTGGAATGGCAACTTCTTCCTCTAAGTTTTAACCTCGCAAGGCTAACAAAAGGTCTGTAACGTTGGAATGGTTCCTTCCTCTTCAAAATTTTGCCCTCAGGTGGCTCACAAAAGGTTTGCTACCTTGGAATGGCACTTTTTTCGTCTATATTTTACCGTCAGGGTGGCTAAAAAAGGTCTGCTACGTCTGGCGAGGGTCTGCTACGGTGCTTCACAGGATGTATGACCAGATTTCCAAATCACCTTTAACGCGTCTTGCCTCGAAAGTACAGACCCAAGGACCCGAAGACCAGGACGAAGGACCAGAGGACCAAGGGACCAGAGGACCAAGGGACCAGAGGGACCAAGGGACCAGGAGACCAAGGGACCAGGACAAAGGGACCAAAGGACCAAGCGACCAGGAACCAGCAGACCAGGACCAAAGGAGTAGGGGGAATTTTATTTTTGATACGAATTAATGTTTTTTTGATAGGAATCAATTTTATTTTTGATAGGTATCCCGTCATGAGTCCGGTCATGAGTCAGGTCATCACTATAAGTAGGTCAAGTTGATCGATGAGGGTTCTACATTTGATGGGCCAAGGTTCTATGATGGGTCGATGCTCGATGGTCGGTCGATGGAGGTCAATTTGATCGACGAGGGGCCAAGCGAACCATTCCGACACCGGTCGATGGTTGTACCCTCCAAAGGTCGAAGCTTGACCCGCCTTTGAGACCGGTTAAGGCCGATTTGGGTGACTCTCCAACCGAACTGCATCTCACCTTGCGGTAGAATGTCCCCTTGATTTCTCTTGTGTGAGGGTACTCAATCCACGAAAATGCCTCGAGATCTCCAGCCCAAAGATGCTTAAGCTGTACATATACGAATGTATTTCCCATCTTTTTCCCCTCCCGCAAGCAGCTTCTGGTGCTTGCACGGCGGACAAAAAGCTGATGCCTTTTCACTGGCTGGCGAAATGGTGACTCTTCTTTCGGCATTTCACCCTGCTATGTGAGGCGGGCATCCACGGATGTGGAGCCGACTGATATTGAAGTTTGCATAGTCTACCCTTGCAACCACAGCCCAAAGGTCAGGAAGTCATTGATCCACTCATTTATATACTGATTCTTGTGCAGTTCTCTGGTAGGGTGTGGCAGTTGAGTCACAAGTAATCTCAGGCCAGGTCCGTGTGCGAATTTGGCGTGTCTTTGATCGCATTTCTACGAGTGTGCTAGGGCCTTCAAGCAAAATAATCCTTCAGGCTGAGTTGCCAAGGTTAAGTCTAAGATCATCTACTAAGACCACAAGGCAAGCAGTCTCGCAGATCAGATCAACGAAATTTCAGACCCGAAGCTCGGGGGAAAAACATGCAGGGCATCGTGATCATCATTGATGAACCGACACCATTCCACGCGCCGACCATGAACCGAGGGCTTCACAAGTGCTAAGGCTGGCCGTCCCAAATGCCATGCCCAACACCATGCTGTGTCGTGCCCACGACTCATTGGCGCAGACCGTTTCTTTAATGTTCTTTCAATCCAAGAAGAGGCATCGAGTGGATGAGTGAACGGGCTCACGGCAAAAAGGACATTGACGGATCTGGCAGCGGCAATCTCTGCACACCACGTGGCCGCAAGGGACCAATGCCACTGCAGGTCTATGATCTTGACAAATGGGGCATGTGACGCAACTGCCTTTGGGAAGGGTCGGCTGCAGGTGGATGGCATCCTCACAGCTTGAATCCTCCCAGCTTGCAGTCAAATCAAGGCAAAGGAATCCATAGCCACCATCGTAAGAATCACCTACTCCATCTGGAAAACCCAGCTCAGCCATTTTTGCTTGGAATTCCTTGACCACAAGCGCTTCCCCACCATGCCTTCGACAAGGTTCATCAACGTTGACCTGCTGTGAGCAATGATTCATCCGCTGCATCGCTGCGGCTTCACTTCGTCGAATGAAGGTCTGCATTGTCTGCGCCACCAACTTCTGCACGATCCTCTTCAGGGTTGCAAATTGCAGCTCACTCGGCAGAGCTTGTTCTATAAAGAAATAGAACCTGTGCTTCAATATGGGTGAATCCAGATAATCCTGTATTTATATATATATATATCTCTAAGTATGTTCCGTCTGACAAACATGAAGCGAAAACAAACCTGGAAAGAAGATGAAAGAAGAAGAAACCCTTTCGGACAATTTGTCTTCCGTCCGGGGGCCAGTCCCCACTCCACATTTGTTGAGGCTCAGCAAATTTGCCTTTCGGGTTCACCCGCCGCGCGCCCTGCAAACGTCAAGACCGAACACGTCTCTGACCCCGCTCCTGCCGGTCTCTGCGTCATAGGCTCCACGTGCCTCTGCACTCACCTTGACCAGACGTTGACGGAACATGGCTTTCGAGTGGCGCCCCGAAGAACTGCCAAGCTGCGGACTCGAATCGTTTCACCCATAGCCATGCACCAAGATGACACATGTATACACATGGCACATCATGTATGATGTGTTGAATGGAGCTCCAGTTCAACCGTCCCTGGCCGAACCCAATCGAATGTTCGACCCCGGGCTGGGGAGGCCGGGGTCAAACGGGAGGACCACGAAGAACAACGGTGAAGGAAAAAAACCACAGAAACGTCCAACAGTCCGGCGCCTGGGGCGTTGTCAAGAAACCGAAGGCATCGGCATGAAAAAGGGATGAAGGGATGTCAGTCTACTCAGTCTACTCAAGTCATGACAAGCGTTTTCAGCTTGTTGGTTCAATGACTCAGTATTATCAGCGATATCCCAAGTCTACTCAGCCAATGACTCAGTAAACATCAGCACGCCAACCTCTGCCACTGGTCGGAAGCAACACAACCAACAAGACTTGGAGAGAGCAGCCAAAGACCGGACTTGATTTTCTCCACGTGCCAAATGCGGGAGAAGCTTCATTAGGTCTTGGTGAACACTCGACAGGACGCTACACGAAGGCCTGCGTCCCATAGAAAAACTCACCTTTGATGCGAATGTCTCTGGAAGATGACCCGATCCTCACTTGGAATCGGCCATCCACGGGCATCCACCTGCGGTCCACAGCAAGAGCACCAGTCATCCCATGACCAGTCAAAGTTCAAACCAGAAACACATCGTAAGCAAACAGAATTGCAAGCATGCAAAAACCACGACAGTATATGTTAGGCCTGTTAGGCATTATAATGCATTATACAATTTGAGACATGAGTCTGGTTTGGAGGAGAAACAACATCGGTTGACCTCATGTATTTAGCTGATAGACGGACCTGCAGCATCCGGATCGGCCCGGCCTATGCTCTCCATTGTTCCAAATCGACAGCTCGCGCGGCCGCAGGAGCAGGGAGACCTCCTGAGCGCTTCCGGGCGCCAGCGTGGAGGTCTTCTGAAAGCCCTTCAGCTGCAGCGGCTCGCCGGCGGCCTCCGGGAAGTACAGATAGAGCTGCGCCACCTGCGCGATTCTGGGGTGCGGCGGGAATCCATTTCAGCAATGGCCAGCAAATAATCATGGAGAAGAGCCAGCAAAAGCCAACGTTTTGCATCATCCATGGAAAGGGTTCGTGCACTATCCAGCAACACGCTCTCTGGAACTGGCAAACTGCTTGCTTCCCAATACAGATTGGGCAACATTTGGGATGTGGCTCGAAAGATCAGGTGGTACAGTGCTCCAAACTCCAAAACAAAAAAACTCCATTTCTTCCGACCCGCACACGCCGCACATGTCCGGAAATCTGCCAAACTATGGGCTTTGACGCGGCGTCCGCGCCTCGGAACCTGGGAGAGAACCCGTGTTTCGCACGAGGAAGCTCACCTTCATGCCGCCCAAGGTTCCTCCGGTCACAGGTTTTGCAGCTTCTCCCTTCCAGTGCAATTCCATACCGAAAACACCAGAAAACCCATTAAGGTCGATTTGGGTCGCCTGTATGCCAAAGGAAAATTGAAACAAACAGGGGCGCCTTTGCAGTCACTCCAAGATACCTGAACAGAAGCTACGATATGACGAACAGAACGGTACTGGGACTTTGTTGCACCATGTTGTACCAATCTTGTACAAAACTGTACGGCGCGACGGCGCGGTCATCTACCATTCTAGAAGGATGTTTGGATGTGTTAGGAGCCAATACCAGGCAACCCGTGTCCTTGGATGTCGAGCTGGGAGTACTCAAAGCTGGTGTATGACAGGCCATGTCCAAAGGGAAAACCTGTGGTAAAGCTGATGTTGTGATGCTCGTAGTAGCGATATCCCACGAGCAGCCTCTCGGTGTAGAAGGCGTAAAACGGAACCCTTGGATTGGGGAGTCCAGGATATTGCGCCGGAGAGAAGTCTGTCTCGTTGTCGTGGTTCGGAAACGTCAGAGGCAGCTTCCCAGATGGGTTCACGTGGCCGAACAAAATGTCCGCAATCGCATTGCCTGCGACGATGGGCCTCTCTACGTTACTAAGTGAAACACCATAAAGGCCAGAGTTTTGAAACAATGAAAAAGTATAGGTTATATGCGTACAATTCTTTTGCCATGGGGACTCTCTGATGTATTATAAATTGTGATTCTACTCGGAAACAATTAACTCATATTAAGTCAAGAGTTAACTGATTACCATTGCCCTCCAGAGTTAGTTCAACTGAAGCAGCAGTCGAGAAACAATCAAAACTATAGTATAGAGTTTAGTAGTTTGTCCCGATGCACTCTTCGAGATACTTTCTTTGCAGCTGCTACAAACAAGGGAGGAAAACCTGCAATCACAGTATGAAGGTTTTTGCCTTTACTTCCTTATCATCAGCTCACAGGTCAAATGGTCAAACATGTTGAAAATGTCTGTCATGATGGTCTGAACACCTCTTTTCCATCCAAATGACTGTGACTCATGATATTCGTGTCAATGTGTTTGACCTTGCCAAGCAGAACCAACGCCCTCCCAGCACCGACTCATTGGTCTGCACAGCCTCCGTCTCTTTGGGGGACACCACAACCAACTCAACAACTGCACTCCACCCAACAGGATCTGATCATGTCTTCACTTTGGCCCACGGCCGTGGCTTTCCATGGCCTGCTTGCTGGCCGGGCATAAAGTTCGACACAATGGCCGCCACCTCCCTCGACCACGGCAGCAGCACCGCCCCGGGCGTGGTCACCACGACGGCCGTCTTGGCACCAGCAGCCAAGGCCACCGCGGCGACGAGCGCGTTCTGGCTGTGCCAGTCAACGCCCACGTCCAGCGACAAGGAACCACGGTCGCTGCCTACAGGGGTCGTCAGCCGAATGTGTGTCACCAAGGTGTGAATGGTTTTTGAACGTTTTGGGTCTCTCTCTCTCTCTATAAATGAAGGAATGACAACAACTCAATGGGTTCATGAACTTCATCTACAGACTTCGAGTCCGATCGACGACTGTGTGAGATGAGAGAGGCCTCACTCACAGCAACAACCTGACGGTGAAAAACGCATACCTTCATGTTACGAGTAGAAGATTCTGGGCAACGTTCAACTCATCCGTTTGACCACAGGAGGGTCCAGCCAAGCCCAGCCAAACCGCACCGTCACCCCATGTCGGTCGCCTTCCGCCGACAGAGTCCCCACGAAGACCAAGACCACATCGCTCGTCTTCGCCAAGGCTGCCGCGCGCAGGGCGCAGCTGCCATCATCGAAGGTGACCTGGCTCCCTAAGGCTTTCGCTGCATCGGTGATGCCCTGCAAGGGCGTTGACACAAACGAGGGCTCCACGCTACCAGACCCACCAGCATGATAAATGGCCTTCTCATCCGCCAGGCCGATGACTGCAACGCGCTGGCCAGTCCTTGGATACGCAATTCCCAAGAAATCCCCTGAAGAATAACTCAATCAGGATCAATCAGGTGCCTTCCCACCCCCGCACAAGAAGATCTGATCAGGCAAAAAAGGGCGGTAATTCAAAAGAACCCACCTGATCAAAAAATCGAATCAATGACCTTTCCGGGCGTCTTTCGCAAGGGCAACAGCTGTCCCTCGTTGCGCAGCAGCACCGTGCCCAAGCCGCTGAGCTTTCGCGCCGACGCGACCGAGGCGGCTGTGGTCACGTTGCGCAGGCGGTTGCGCCAGTCCCACGTGCCCAACGGCTCATCCATCACTCCTCGGTGAACTCGATTGAACCACAAGGACATAGGACCAAGCGCCGAAAAAAAAAAAATCACATCTATAACATGGTATACGTGTCTTTGGGTTGAATTGTTCTACCTGGTTTTTCGTGGGGAGACCAAGCCAACAAACACAATAGCTTAACACAACCTTGTGCATGTTCAAAAACAAATGCTGTTGCTTTTTTCCGTGTGAAACGGAAAAACCATGGTTGAATCAACATATCCCATCTAAAGACCATTGCCTCGTATTACCTCCATGTTTCCAATGGCATAGAGCTGCGTCAAAATCCGCCGCACCGAATCGTCCACCTGCGCCTCCTTCACGGCCCCGGACTTCAGCGCCGCTTCCAGGAGCTCGGCGTTCATCCAGTCTTGTCCTGCCAGAGATGCGGAGACACACGCGGAGACGCGATCAAGACGTGGATCTGGGTGAATTAAACTAATTTCATTAATTTCGTTCACCTCGTACCTCGTCTTAATTCAATGTTTTGAAATTATTCACCTCGCCTCGTTTAATTTGAATAATTTCAGTCACCTCGTCTGCCTGCCTGGCTCCTGGCAGGCTGGCTGGGTGGGCTGTCTCTCTGTCTCTCTGTCTGTCTGTCTGTCTATCTGTCTTCTTGACCCCCAACCAGCACACGCACCCCTTGGGAGGGACGTGGCTGATCGGGGTTTGCTTGTGCTTGGCTGGCACGAGTGAGCGGGTGGGTGGCTCCAAAGCCTTTGAAAAAAAAGTGTTCTCTTGAGGGGGGGGTGGTCTATGTTTAATTGAGCTGCAAGGCGCAGTTTCCTGACCTAGTGGGGCTGGCTAGGGCCTGAGACAACATCAACAAGGCTGCAAACCAATCCACAGTCGTGAAACCCAATTTCGCAAAAATAGGGTTGTTTCATGGGGCTTGCCTGTTTGAGCTGCTCAGCACAGTTTCCATGCCTAGTGGGGCTGGCTAGGGCCCGAGACAACATCAACAAGGGTGGAAACCAATCCACAGTCCTGAAACCCTATTTCGCAAAAATAGGGTTGCTTCATGGGGCTTGCCTACTTGAGCCGCTCAGCACAGTTTCCATGCCTAAGACAACATCAACAAGGCCGCAAACCAATCCACAGTCGTGAAACCCTATTTCGCCAAAATGGGGCTTTTTCATGGGGCTTGCCTATTTGAGCTGCTCAGCACAGTTTCAGGGCCCGAGACAACATCAACAAGGCTGCAAACCAATCCACAGCCGTGAAACCCTATTTCGCCGAGATAGGGTTGTTTCATGGGGCTTGCCTGTTTGAGCTGCTCAGTACAGTTTCCATGCCTAGTAGGGCTGGCTAGGGCCCGAGACAACATCAACAAGGCTGCAAACCAATCCACAGTCGTGAAACCCTATTTCGCCGAGATAGGGTCGTTTCATGGGGCTTCAGCGCAGTTTCCATGCCTAGTGGGGATGGCTAGGGCCCGAGACAACAGCAAGAAGGTTGCAAACCAATCCACAGTCGTGAAGCCCTATTTCGCCGAAATAGGGTCGTTTCAGGGGGCTTGCCTTTTAGAGCTGTGCGGTTCATGATCTTTACTTACTAGGCCTTGGTAGGTTGGGAAACCAGGCCAAAACGGCGGCGAACCAATCAACCGTTGTGAATCCCAATTTTTGCCCAAAAGGGTTTGTTTTAAGGTTTAGAACTAGGGACCCAAATTACCAAATCGACGTGCGAGCGGCCTAGTTGGAAACACCGCAACCGTCGTAGCACGAGGCTCAGGCTCGACCCCACCCTCTGCAAACTTTTTCTCTTTTCCCACGTTGCGTGCGCGCGCGCGTGTACGTTGCGCACGGGTCGGGAGTGCTTAAGTGAGAAGGGCGTTTCCTTACCGACTGATCCACAATCGTGAAACCCTATTTTGCAAAAGTAAGGCTTTTTCATGGGGCTTGCCTATTTGAGCTGCTCAGCACAGTTTCC